GGGCCTCTCTTCCCTCCAGGGCTGTATCCCATCCCATCTACCAAGCAGGTCCCTGAAGAGGCCAGTCTGCTCTCCTGAAGGCCAGGGTAGCAAGCTTGCTGTGTGCCCTCATCTCCGCCCTAAGGGCATTGAACTCGACCATCTCATGGTCACTGCAGCCAAGGCTGCCCTTGAGCTTCACATTCCCCACTAGCCCCTCCTTGTTGGTAACAACAAGGTCCAGTATAGCACCTCTGCTCGTTGGCTGTGCTACCCCTTGGATAAGGAAGTTACCATCAACGCGTTCCAGGAACCCCCTGGATTGCTTGTGCCCTGCTGTGTTGTCCCTCCAACAGATATCAGGGTGGTTGAAATCCCCCATGAGGACTAGGGCTTGTGGATGTGATGCAGATACAATCTGACTGGAGTATAAACTAGTTAATGATTGGTGAAAAGTGAATTTTGAATTTCTGTCTAGCACTGTTACACAGAGTTGGAGAATGTGTGTTAATATAAAAGAAGAGATTTGCCAGAAGAACTTGATGAGTATTGTTCTTTTTTGTGTCTGGGGACAACTGGATCACTTACCCTCTTTAATTAAGTCTACATGAAAGGCTTTGGAGGGAAGAGTGTTGGGGGGGAGTGGTGTCCTTGAGAAGGCCCTTCTCCCAGATCAAGAGATTTTTGTCTTGGTTTTGGTTTGTATTTTCTGTTTTCTGACAAGTGCCACTTACATTACACTTGCAACTTACTGCCGAAATTTGGTGCGTGCATCCAACTGCATGATTACACGTGGCTTTTTAGTGATTATTTTAGAGTTTTGTGTTATGCATGATGAAGGCCAAATCTTATTGTGTACTTTGTATTGAGTATATTTAATTGCCACGTATCATCTTTGACAATTGATGCTCAATTGATGCTGACAAGTTTCTCTTATTTCATGTTTCCTTTGCATAATTCAGAGGACCTATTGTTGGATGCACTTAATGCAAAAATGGGCAAAACTCAGGTTCCACAGACAACTGTAAATCCAGAATTTCCCAGCCCTATAATATAAGGATCTGAAGTTAAGCCTAAAAATACTATATGAAATCGTTGGGTTTTTTTCCTAAAGTGTTGGTTATCTTTTTTTTTAACTAGTGAATGTTCATTATTGTTATTATTATTGATAGAGTCTGGATGAACAATATCTGAAAGAATTTGCATCTCTATCAGAAGCCCAGTCTAGGACAGAGAAAGAAAGTGTTATGGGTGAAAACTCTTCCATATTGGCCAGTCCTCCTCCTGATGTCCAGAGTGTACAAGCCTATGATGATCTTTGTGCAACTGGTTTGGGGTAATTTTTTTTTAACCTGAGAACTCTAGTTGGTCATAATTCCTCAGTTAAGCAGCATGCCAGTATGAAGAGTTCTACTGTTACTACGTGTTCTATAGATGTTTAATTTTGAGTGGAAAGTCAAACTCGTGCATATTGTTCACAGTTGCATGAAGTAGATTAAATATTCTCCCTCTAGGTAGAAGACAATGTAGCTGTTGCATATGAAGGGAATTGTACGTGGCTGTTTATTACAAACTTAGTGATGTGGAAATGGAATCTAAATTCTGATACAATTGGTATCATGGTTTTCTCAAATCATGTGTAATTTGCTTTGTGTTGAGATGAGAGTTCACACAATCAGGTTTTTTTCCAGGTCTGTAGTCTAGCTATGTTCATATGTGTGCGTGTCATAAAAATGCATGGAAAAGGCACAGTTCTGAAGATGGAGATTCCTTAACCTGAAGTCCTTTGTAACATTTTTCTTCCATTGTCTGAACTAGAGAAACAAAAGGTCTTTGGTATTAGTGTTCTGAAACATTATTGGTGTCTTCTCTGTCAATTTTTTTTTTTTTTTAATAAAGGAAGTTTCTGTGAGGGAGACAAATGTGATCTTGACCAGCTGATTTTGAAGTCACGGTGCAGTTTATTCCTTCCATTTTTGGCAGATCGTATGTGTTGGTTACATTTTTCTGGAAATGGCCCACCTGGAAGACTGTACCATTAATGTCACTAAAATGTCACAACTATACCGAAAAATAATATTAATCTTGATTTAAGTGAATATTGGAGAGAAGATCTGTATGAACATTGATTATATAACAGCCGTTTTTATTTTAGAATTATGCACTACCCTGCAATCTGAGAGGAACAGCATACTTAAACTAAGTCAGATACTTTGATTATTTCTATTGTTCATTACCTTTTGTAATTCCAATTACCAGATTGTCTACAAAGTCAAAATATTTTGATAAGAAGGAAATTAATCATGAGAATTATTCTGTACCTGATGTGACTGAAGATCTTAATGAAGTGGGACCTCTTGTTCCGGAGGAGTTAGATGTAACATCAGAAAGAGAAGGTTTGTTTTTATGGTATAACCTTTTACTATGGTCTGACATATGAAACAGAGTTTTGGCTGAATAGGATTATGTATTCTTCTGTTTATTTGATAAAAAAATGGAAATAAGTTTTCATTGTTCTATTGAAATTATTATTGTATCCGTTTTATATTATAACTAAATTTTATATGATTGCTTTCTCCATACTTTCTGATCAGTTTTTAGTTACGTAATTTCTTTTTGCTATAGAGAAAGGACAATGTATAGTAACTTATCTCATTTGCTCATTTACTTTGATTCCAAAAATATTCATGCAAATGTGTAAAGTATTATTTGAAAATTCTAAGAGCTGAGTATGCATAGGTTAAGTTTATCATATTCCTACAATGAAAATAAGCTTTTTTTTTTCTTCAGGTGCTTGAATCATCACTAGTAATAACACAGATTTTGCATTTGCCAAGACATCTCTCAACCCCTTTCTCCTTACTAGGGAAAAAGTGGACTAACGTGATCAGTTGACAAAAGTCACATAATAGTGCTGTATGTCGTGTAGTTTCTAATTTAGAGTAATTGTGTTTATTTTGTAGAGCTGTTTGAGGAGCCATATGAAACTCCAAAGAGCTCAAATACCTCTGTGAAGATCAAACCTATAGAACATCAAAGAGGAAAGGCAAGTTACCATTTTACATGGAAGCATCAAATTATTATGAATACTCTTCTCAAAATATCCGGAGTTGCTCAATATACTTAAGAAATTGAGAGCTTAAAGTGTTTAGGATTGTTGAACTTTTTTCACCTCCTTATATCAGTAACAAAAGTCGAAAGTAATTAAACAGTAGTGAAGTGAGATCTGCTGTGAGCACTTTTGAAAACTGAATCATTGTTTGTAAACCTAAATGTATCTATGTCTATATATATAATTATGTATATATAAATTACATTAAATCTATGTAATGTAGAACACTACATATAAATATAGAATATTATGCACACATACATGTAAATCAAAAAAAAACAAAAAGAGATGGTCGTCTGGTTAATAGACCAGATTTTTACATGTATTTTGTTATACTAGAAAGCTGTATTAACAACTTCTTTTTTTCGTTAAAAATGTGTGCTGTCTCTGAAGTTGTCATAAGGTCATTAAATAAAGACTCGACCACTTGTTTGCATGTTTGCTTGTTTTTAAATTAAATATATAAAGATGTTTATTTTGCTTCTGTCTGGAAAGTCAGAACTCAGTCTGGATCTGTAAATGAGACAGGTTTTTTCATGCCTCATCTTTGGTCATAAGTCTCCTTTCTTTGAAATTGGCTACGTGCTATTATGCTGAAACGTGAATTGCGATGCTGTCAGTTTACTTGCCTGTAGGACTCTACATTCAGTGCCGTTAGTGGGATTAGAAACAACAAATGTATTGTGGTCTTTAATTGTACAAAGCATTTTACTGTAGTGACTCTGTGGCATGTGTAAAGTCCTGTATTTATTTCAGTTTCTTAATTTGTAAATAGTTTGTGTATAATAGGATTGTTTCCAGATTTTCATCTTTACCTAGGGGGGTGCAAGATTAGCAGAGTGTATTTCCAGGGTACTTACATGGATATGAATTTGAAACTAAAAGCTTATAATAATGACTTAGAAAGAAAGATGCTCAGATGACTCATTAGGCTATCTCCTTATTTCTCATCTGTATCTGTCCTCCGATAAGTATGTAATCTTGATTATTTTTCAGTCAGATTTTTTTCAAGTGCCTGATTAATCAAAAGTATGTTTGCGTTAGGTTAATAAAGTAATACTTTATTGAAGCAGAAGGGGAATATAAATATTTACTAAGTTCAGATGCATCTTTTTACGTTCCAGCAGGTCTCAATTTCAGATGTAGGTAGTCCCCAGGAAGATCAAAAGGCGGAAAAAACAAAGGAAGGAAAGGCTGAACAGAATGCGTGAGAGACTTTTTTTGTTGTTGTTTTAATTTCTCTTTTAACTTTTCTTAAAAAACTAAGGTAGTTTTGTTAATTATAGTATCCAGTGAGGTCTCAGTGGGTTCTTGCTGATGTTTATAGCAAGAAACTCGCAGTTTGAAACAAAATTTCAGTCTTCTATTTCACAAGTACAGGCATTCCATGTATACAGAGTGCTGGGTGGATGAGTGGTTATTTTAGAAAAGATAATTAAAGTGTATTTTCTATCTGGCAAAAGGATATAGAATAACTGGAAAAGCGTTCAGATACACAATTCCTTCTCCAGACCTGAAACAGGAGCGGCATCTTCAAGCTAAATACAGGTGGAGAGCTGTTATTCTAGGAAATTTTAACAGTTAATTTGTTATATAACACAGAAGAAAGAGAGACTGGTGTCTAGGAAGCAGGAGGTGAGATAAAAATAGATAGGGGCAATAAGCTTCTTAGCTCGTGAAAGAGTGAGGGGTGTATTTTGCACAACTTAAGAAATTTACTTCATTATGATCTTTTAAAAGCTTTATATTTTAAAATATCTCTACATTTATAATGTAATGGATATAAAATTATAGAAACAGTCCTTGAACCTGATTGTCACATTTGCATAGATTACTGCTCAGTTTGATTTCTCTGAAGTTTTTCAAGGAAAGAAACTGTATATTCTGTAAACACAGCGTTCATTATGAGGCATCTTGGTTTTTTGAGATTTTTTTTGTTTGTTGTGATGATAGAATAAGATCAACCTGTTTTTATTACTTCAGTTGGCTTTCTTTTTGAATCCACCAAATTTTTAGTAATGAAACCTTTTCCTCTGATAATACAGTGCCTGAATGTCTCAATTTTTAGAAAATATTGTGGTGGCATATAAATAAATACTCCTGTGTATATATAGTGTTTGTGAAAAACTTTTAAATGGTTTAGTTTTAGAAAGAATCTTCTGCTATTTTTAACTGATACAATATTGTTTTGGAAGAAACAAAAATAACTGCACATGAGATGCCTCTCAAGGATTTCTTATGATACTGGCTTCTCTTTTTTTAGGAAAGTAGATTATAATAATGTTAGCAGTATTGCTTAAATTGGATTTTCTCATCTTTTGTCCACTCAGCTTAGCCTCTTTTTTTGCCTGTTGCATGTGTTGAATATCCAGAACCTTCTTAGCACTTTTGTTTGAGTTGGTTTCTGATTGCTCAGGAGACGAAGCATGAATGTCAATATTTGCCAGCTCAAATTGCAGTGTAAGGCAGTAATTGAAGCAATGCAGATCATTATAGCTCTGATCAGGTGGCTTTCAGGTACTTTATGTTGTACTAATTAAAATATTTTTTCAGGAGGTGATCAATAGATACAGACACACACGTGTATATAAATGTAATATGAATTTAAATTAAACAGTGTAACAAATTATTGCAGTATTTACAATACTCATTTTTTCTTTCTTTATAGCATGACTGAGGTTGTTACTAGCACCATTTCTCGCCCATTCTCTTTAGAACAAGATACAGAAGTTCCCAGGTAAGATAAACCTATAACGTTTTATACAATAAAAAATGTACTATCCCTATTAAATTTTAGTCTGAGGTAACATGATGTGTAGATTCAATTACAAAATACTTGCAGGTATAGTATATTATACCTGCAAACTGTAGTACTAAGTAGCCTTTCATGAAACCTTCTTGTACTATAATCCTTGAGGATCATACGCTCTTGCATATTGTCCAGAATATCACATGAATCAAACATGTTAATTCAGAGCTACCAGATTTCAAGAGAAGTCATACTTTTGTTTTCTGGTTCCAGACGGAATCACTATAATTATATAGTACTACTATAGAAGATAGATTGTTACATAAAACACCTAAACAATAACATTATCAGCTTATATTAATATTTTTATAAAATTAATAAAGTGTATATGTCCTACAGCAACTGCTAGATACACATAAATATATACATAATATTTCTATAAACAGGGAGAATGTTGGAATTGGGAAAAGGGGTCAGGAGTCAATCTCAGGCTTTCACTTCTAGAACAGTTCTCTGTGAGTTTTTTTCAGTTTAGAGGAAGATCTGAACTATGCATCTCTTTGTATTCCATTTTCATGTGTCTCTAATCTGATTTCCTTCTTGAGTTTTTTCATGCCATCTTTTTTTAAAAAAAAAAACTTTTGTCAGACTTTTAGGGTTTTGGGCCATGCTTACACATACTAATTGCCTTCCAAAAGATTTCCTGTGCCCCTTGGCACCTGTTACATAGCCAAAACCTTTTCAGTACTGCTCATTAGGTTTATGCTTCTGTTTCATCACATACTTTCAGGCCATCCTGTTCAGTTGTGAAACATCCTCCAAAGGCTGCCTGTACCCCTAGCAATGTCAGCATTTTTCTTAAATAGAGAAATGTCTTTTGTGTCAATTTCTGTTGGTATAGATAAAGTCCTTCTGTTTCTTTATAACTTAATATAATCCTAACCCTCTCTTCTTCGTTTAAGGACTTCATCTACTTAATAGTCTTTACCTATCAAAAGAGCTAATTATCTCTGAGAAAATCCAGTATATTATATTATCTGGTAATGTTATTTTAATTGTGTTCTGATCTATAATTTTGTTGTTGATTTTTAATTCCAAATAAAATTGAATTTCTCGTCTCTCTTATTTCAGCTAATAATGTACTTCTCAATTTTCCATGAACTGATGGTTTTATGACTAACAAGGCCCTCTTTCTGTCAAACCGTTGTTTTCTGCTTGTATCTGTAGGGAAGATAATATTTTGGATACCCTTGTGACTAAAAAGTCAGATAGAACTTATGTCTTTACTACTGTTTTTCATTCAGTATATTAGGAAGTGTTAGGAAAAAGATGTCATACATACTCTCCAGTGAACATTGTGCAGTGTTAATTATTTTGTTCCTCCAGTACCTTTAGAAGACACCTTTAAAATCTTCTGGATTGATTTATGACAACCTCATATAGGTGTTCTGAACTAGGAATGTTTTTCATAGTTTTGTTCTTTTCCTTCTTAAGTAGTACAGAGATTTCTCTAAGTGATGGCCAGCCTTTTCAGACTGTTGTGTCAACTATGTCAAGTGTTGCCTCCAGTACTTCCATTTGTACAAAGCAGCAAAAAGTCAAGGAAGAAGTCCCTACAGAAGAGAAACTAAACACATCAGAAACTGTCAGGCAGATGCTCCAAGATGAAATGTTTAAGTTAGTTCAGGTGAGAGCAACTCATTATTGAAAGCAGTGTTTACAGTACAAACTGTGTTATTTGAAGCAGTGGAGATAATTACTGCTTTAAAGGTATTCTGTGTGTGGTTGTTTTTGAAAGAGATTTCCAGTTCCATGTAAACTACTGTGAAAACTTATTTTGACTTAAATCTTGCTTTTGATTCAAGAAAATTAGTTATGTAATAATATTGAAAGTTTGAGTGTGGTTTAGGTCACATAACTCAGTGCTATTTCTATAATAGTGTAGAATAGGAAAAATTCTGAAGCTGAAATAACTTTACAACTATACTAGGATTTCATCTTTGTTTGTATATTAAGACAATTTCATGTGACCTTACATGCACCTAAACTTCACCAAAATACTGAAGGAATGTCTTGCTTTAGCATAACCTGTCTGTGGCAGGTATTGAATATATCTTAAAAGAAAGTCCAGTACAATAAACTATCATTCAAATGAGTCATTATTGAAACTTTGGGATGTTGTTTACTTTGTCACCTATATTAACAGAATAACGAACAGTTGTAACATAGCCTAGGCTATGCTAATTTTTGCTAAGATTCCTGTTAAAGTTGTTTACAGTGTTAACTCTGTATGTGTGTGTGTATCCAGCTACAGCAAATCAACTTCATGAGTTTAATGCAAATAGTGCAGTCATCCTTTGCCAACCTGCCAAATGTGCAACGAATTTTACAACAGCATCAATCTGTTCACCTGGAAGGTAGCCAGCCTGCACACACTGCTGAAGGCAATGGCTTTCTGAAAACACAACTGCCCACTCAAGAAGATAAAGGAAAACCTGGTCAAAAGAGCTCTGATTTTCAACCAAGGAATAGTTTAAGAGATAAAAGCAGCAATGGCCATATAAAAGTAGGTGTATCAAAGTGTCATTTATGAAGACTATTCTGTGTATCTGATATGTTATCTGTCCTGTTAAATTAGGAAATGGTTTTGTAGTGATTGCTGTAGACAAAGAAGATTTATACCATTTTTGTGCCTATTTAGTGCATGGTTGTTATTTCAAGGTACTTGTAAATCCTGTTTTGTTTGCTTTTCTGATTTAGAATCATCTTGATGTGAACGTTTCTTTAAGCCTGTTAGAAAGCCACAGCAAAGAAACAGGATTTATGCCACCATCTGAAGATTTGCATTCTTCAGCACCTACTAAACCATTTCATCTCCTAGCTCCTTCCTCAGATGCCCGGAAAACACCAAAGCTTATGCCTATTGAAAAAAAACTGAATTCCTCAGATGGATTTCCTTTGCTTAAGCTTGAATCAGGTTATCATTTCAAACCAGCATTTTTACATCCAATAGAAATGTCATCAGCTTTTGATAGACCACCCCCAGTACCACGAGTAGCTTGGAGTTCATCAGATTCCTTATGGAACTATCAGTCATCATACACACCAAGAAAGAGTATGTCAAAAGATGTGAATATGAGTAGAAATGACCCTGAGATCCCCAGGCAAATGCATGAAGAGGAAAGGTGGGCAGAAACGGTGCATAAGGCACCTCACAGTCACCTGAATCTAGATCAATATGAAGGTCAGCAAGAAGTTTCACCTCGGCAGCAGTTCTCTGCAAATGTGAACATGGACAAAGCGCTGATCACTTGGAACCCTGCTGGTATTCCACTGTTGCACTTGCAACTTGAGCCAGTACCTAGATTTCCACCAGTTGTAAGGCAGCCAATCAGTACTACGTTAATACCTGTTAAACCTGCAACAAAGGAGACTGACTGCAGAGGAACACTCCAGCACACAGGAATATCACTACTCCATGCTAATTTACCTCAAAAAAAGAAGGTAGTGGATTTTAATAATATATTCTTCTAAGTTGTAGGGTTTTTTCAGTTTCATGGTTTTAGTCATCAAAAATAAGTTAATGTTTCCAGACTATGAAATTTGGAAGTGTTTAGCACAGCTACCAGAAGGCATCTGGAATTAAGGTACCTTCTTATTGGCCTGTCAATATAAGGCAGGCTTCAAGCTTGGAAATGTTTTTAACAACTCTAGATTGATTCCACATTCCATAGTTCATCAACATTCAGCCCATTAGCAATGAGTGTAAGGAATTTACTATCTAAAATATTGAATCATATTTATGTGGTAAAAATAGGTCTGTTTTTACAGAAATTTAAATAGAATTATTTGCAGAAATACAAAGAATGCGGTAAGAAATCCCTTTTTGTGAGGGGAGAAATGGAATGCTAAAAGGCATGGTAAGACAACCTTTCCTTCTGGATGTTGAGAACTTGTTTTGATGTTTTGAAAAATGTTGTCTGGATAGACTCTCACATTCCGGTTGAAAAGAACGGAAATGTTTTTCCTTGAAAGGTGCTTCTTCAGTCCATGTCTACATTGTGTGGTTCCTACCTTCATCCTCAACTGCATACATTAGAAATGCAAATACTAGTGAAATACATTCTGTGGACAAAATTCGTATCTTTCAGTTTACTTTCAGAAAAGAGTTTACGCATGCACACATTAGCTGAGATTCTGGTCTGATGCTGTTAATACTACATTTTCACTTTCTCTACAAATTGCTAGAGGAGTTGTGTTTGTCTAACTGGACCTGCTCTTTTCATCCAGTCTGACTGGGGTTCCCCCCCCC